AACATTTGTGTAAAAGTCTTTGTGTAGATTTGTTTCATTTCTTTGGGTAAATACTTAGGAATGGAATTGCTGGTATGTCTATAATTTAAAAATTGAATTTAGCTATTGAAAAAAGTTATTTTTAATCATGCTTTTCACTGGGCTACATTTCATTTTTAATACAGTATTTTATTCTGTCAATTAATAACTAATATTTGAGAACATTTACAATATTAATGGAAGTTAATCTAAGAGAAGTTCAGCTTACATTTTTTTAAAAAAGTATTTCAATACTGAGTATGCGTAAGAGAGATAATTATGGTCGAAGTTATTATGTCAAAAACATAATAAATGTTAGTCTACATACAGTTCAGTTTTTAGTGTAAAGTTCTTGGGCTACAAGAAAGAACATTTGGTTTATTTCACTAATAGAAATATCTCTTAATGCTGGGATGGCCTCTTCTTGGTATTTCTTCTGCTATTGTTTTTAGCGTAGTTGTCTGTGATGGTATGAATGGAGTTGAGTGGAGAGGTACTCATCATGTTTATTCCAAATAGTAGTATATAACCGATTACTATAGTAATGAGGAGGTAGACAGAGAATGCAACTGCTTGGTACTTTTGAGGCCAGTAGCTTAAGCCTAAGGAGTTTAGCCAAAATTCAGGAATAAAAGCCCATATGAGATATAGTATGAAGCCATATTGGGAGCTCAAGAAAAGAGCAAAGCCATAAATTGCTCATCTGGCAATGGTGATGGTGAATTTTCCATTTTCCCTGTGGCTCTAGACAGTCTCAGCACTGAGTCCCTGTGCAAGCGCCTACCCAGGAGCTGCAGGAGAACAAGGGAAGAAAAACTGAGTGACAGGCCTAGTGGAGACAGTAACCCCTGCTTGGGCCTACATTTCATTTTTTTAAATTTATTTATTTTAATTAGTTTCAAGTATACAGTACATTGGCTAGACATCTATATAGTTTGTAAAACGGTCCCCCTAATTGCACCCTCCCTCCCCTGACCCTTCAGCTAGCCAACGTATTCATTCTAATTGTATTCCCTATGCTGTGCTCCCTATCTCCATGTCCATCTGTCAGCTACTAATTTGTACTTTTTTAACCCTTCACCCCATTCTCACAGCCCCCCAAACGCCCCTCCCCTCTGTCCATCACCAAATTGTCCACTGTATTTGTGAGTCTGTTTTTGATTAGTTTATTATTTTTATTCCTTAGATTCCTCAATATAGTGTTTATCTTTCTCTGACTTAAATACCTTCTCGGTCCATTAAAGCAATATCTCTTTTCCATCCCCTTCCTTTTAGTCTGTCTTTTAATCTGAAGTTAGTCTCTTATAGGCAACATGTAGGGGTCTTGTTTTCCTTTTCATCCATCTACTATTTTAGTTGGATCACTTAATTCTTTTCCATTTGAGGTACTTATTGATAGGAATGTAGTTGTTACCATTCTTTATTCCTGTTTTTGATACATGTTTTTTGTTCTTAAAGAAATCCCTCCAACATTTCCTGTAATACTGGCTTCATGGTGATAAATTCCTTCAGCTTATTTTTGTCTAGAAAGCTCTTTATCTGTCCTTAAACTCTAAATGATAGCTTTGCTAGATAAATTATTCTTAGTTGTAGATCCCGGGTCTTCATCCTGTCGAATATTTTGTGCCAAGCCCTTCTGTCTTGCATAGTTTCTTTTGAGAAATCAGCTGCCAGTCTTATGGGTGTTCCTGTATAAGTAACTATCTGTTTTTCTCTTGCTGCTTTCAATATTCTTTCTTTGCATTTAACCTTTGGCATTTTAATTATGTATCTTGGTGTGGGCCTCTTTAGATCCCTGATTTTTGGAATTCTTTGAGCTTCCTGGGGTTTTATGTCCATTTCCTTCACCAGGTTAGGGAAGTTTCCATCATTATTTCTTCAAACAGCTGTTCAACATTTTGATTTTCTTCACTTATGCCGATCAGATGGATATTTGGACCCTTAATAGTGTCCCATATGCTCCTTCAATTATTTTTATAGTCTTGGAATCTTATCTCTTGCCATTCTGATTGAGTGTCCTTGGCTTTCTGTCCTCTAGATAGGGCATTTAGTCCTCCTCTTTAC